CTAAGGTCGATATGGATATACCGACACCGGCAACTCTCTCTTTAGCAAATAGTGCTTTGCCAACTACCATATCGACCGAAAAAAAAAAAAAAAAGGTAATTAAACAAAGGAAAAACAATCTCCTTCTTCCTTCTATAGCGGCCTTTCCACCCATCCATCGACTTGCACCTTCAAGGTATTAGTCAAAACTAGCTCTTGCAAAGAGATATTAGCCCCGATTTTGGTCATAGCGTCAGCAGGGTTAGATTTGCCTCCGATCCAGCGTACCTTAAAGAGCTCTCGCCTTTCGTATGACTCCCGAATAGCCATAATATCGATCATTAGACGCTTCTCCTTAATGGTCCCCAGTTTTACTATGCATTCGTAAAGCGAGTAAGAGTTAGTGCACACGACTACGAGGAAGTTAAGGATTCCTAGTTAAGCCGTGATTTAAGCAAAAGTAGTCGACATAGCAATAGCCATATCGATACTTAAAGATATCGCGTATAACTCAAAGGCTAATACTGCTCTTATCACCCTCTTGCACTTCTGTGACACCTAATGTAAGATGTTACCCGTCAAAGTGAACTCGTTCTCACTTACGTGAGCCTTATTGCCAAGGATAGCTACGAAACCGATTTAAAAGCTAAAGTCAGCGTTGTTAGCAAACGCTCCGTCTACGAACATAAAAAGCTTCGCAGTCTTTAGGTCCAAGAGCACGTAATAGATCCCTCGAGTTGGGTGATCGATCAACTACTAGATCACTTTATTAAGGGCTTTATAATCTTCGTCCTTCGGTTCCTAGTACTAGGCGGCCATCGATAGAGCGCAAGATGCCTCTAGGTAGCAAATGGTAGCCAAATACGCCCTTCGAGCACGTTGCTCCAAGTACTCTTTAGCCCGTATGGCTGAATCGAGCTTGATCATTGCAAGCCTTTCACCTTGCCCCTTTTGCCCAACTAACAGTCCGAACCCTTTTTTATCCAAGGATAGCTTGCATCCATTGAAAATCATTGGCTCGGCGTATGTAAAAGTCTTTATTTCCTTGCTCTTCAGCTTGGATTTGACCAGCTCCTTCTCTTCCCTTGCCCTTATAGCTAGATTAACAACCATAAGAACATTATCCGTTTATAAAGCAGCTATTCCTAGCTAATCTTTGTTAGTTAACATAAAAAAGCAAGAATCAAAGCTCGATTGCTTTATCTCGAGGTTGTCCGTAAAATGCCCTGAAAAACGCTTATACTAATGCGTTCTTGCCTCGAAGATCTTATACAAAAGGCCAGTCATAAAGAACAAAGTGCCGAAAGAGAATCGATAAGTGATCTCCTTAAGTGGTCGCACGACGATTATTCGGATGAGCTTCGTGCTTGACTGAGTATAAGCCTAAGTGATATCCTTGCCACAGACTTGACACTCGTAGTCCTTTATTAAAGAAGGAGCTAGAGCACAACAGAGTCTTTAGCCCGCTCGCTACACCGTAAGTGACTCGGTAAGTACCTTCGTTTTGCCTTTATCTTAAAAGGCTTAAACCACCATACGAGACTTCTCGTATAGCGTAAGTGTTCCCTTGCCCTTAATCTCATCAACAAACCTAAATCCGAAGATCCTAGCGCCCTTAGCGCGTAGATCAGTGCCCGAGATCACTTAGAAAATGCCTTAAGCTATCAATCCAGCCAATTCCTTTGCTTTAGACTCTTGAAATAGTGCCCCGAGGCTCTTAATGATTCCCTCGGCTCGTAGCTTAGCTAAGAGCTCATAGTCCCGGCGTTCCTTGTCGGTAATCAACACCTCGGAGTCCTTAGTAAATAAAACGTAAGAATCGCCCTCCTCCTCGTCGAGCACGATCGAGATACTAAGATCGTACTTCTAATAAAGTATCTGGACCATTAGTATTATTGACTTCTAAGGATTAGCAAGTTAAGGGTTAAGGGGGCTATTTATTGGTCTTAGCGAGCTTCTTAGATTAAGCGACCTCGGTGGATTAAGCGAATGTTGAAGTTTAAGCGAATTTCGTATTTCCAGCTCTTTTTCGCCTTCGCTCTGATCATCTTCCACCTCTTCTTCCACCTCTTCTTCCACCTCTACCTCAAGTACCTGCAACTCCTCTGGCAGCTTTTCAACTTCAGAGTAATAAGGTTTTACTAAGGTTGACCTGAATTCCGTAAGCCTCAGACAAGCCACTGTGTACGTGTGCCCCTGCCTGCCAAGCAGCTGAAAGGGGCCCTTCTACCCTTGGTTTTCCCGCCACACCAGCACCCGTAAGCCAATAAAGAGGTCTAGAGTATGCTCCGTAATTGGGCTATTCCTCCTCTTGAGCGCGTCCCTAACCTGCCTCGCAGCGTAGCATTTTCGTACTTCCCTTATAGCCTTATTGATAGCAGCAGCACGCTCCTGAGTAGACGCGGCAAGTCGATCTTGCTCCGTCAGCCTCGGTAAAGTCTCAAAAACGAAGAGTGTAAGAACCAGGCCATTAGGTCCAGCTGTGTCGTTGATAGCTTTGATAGCCATTTGAAGCCGGTCCTCCCTTAAGGCTTTTAGAAGCTCCTTTGTGACGATCTCAAAAGCGCGTCGCACAAAGACGTAGTAGCGTTCCACTAGCCCGACGCTGTGATAAGCTTCCACAAGCATCTGCTTTAAAGTGCTGCCAATACCCTTAAAGTAGCCTCGGAACGTTGCCGAATTGAAGTTAGTTCCGGGATCGTGCACGACGTTTGTAAAGGGTCCGACGTAAGTGTTGACCTAGCATCTACTGAATCCCTCAAGTAAGTGCTATGCGGACATGCTTTTAAAAAAGGTAGCGGCCTGAAAATTAATAAAATCGCAGACGACGTATAATACGTTCTTACCGTCAAGGTGCATTACGTCCACGTATACCGTATCATTGAAGTCAGTATCATCCTTGAGTCTGATATTAAACCTCCCCGAGGAACGTCCGAATACTTAGCAATAGTAGCAAAACTTTTAGATATTATAAAGCAAATCCCGTCTAAATTCGTGCCCGGCCCTCTTAAGAACAGCAGCAAATCGACTTGCTAAAGGGTGGCCAAAACGCTTGTGGATAGTTCTCAATTGCTCTTCCGTAAGGTAGCAGTAGACGGTCTCGCCCTCGGTGCTATAGTAGGTAGCAGCGTGCTCTTTACTCAATAGCATCCACACGTGCCCAAACATCCTTACCACTAGTATTTCCCTTTTCCCTTAGACTAGCACGTTCCGCAAGTTATCCAGGATCACTTTGTGCTTATCTATGTCAGCCAATAAGAATAAGAAAAGTACGTCGCTTTCCACAACGTAGAACTCCACTTGACCCAAAGGTGTTTCTAAGGTAACTGCTCTAATAGAAATAGCCGAGCCGATGCCGTATTTGACGGACTTCTCCCCTGCCCGGGATGTATCCAATTAAACCTCGAGGTACCTCTTTTAAAGTGCTCGTAACTAAAGCAAGCCAGCGGTAGAGAAATTGGCTGCTCCGCTGTCAATCATAAGGCCTATAAACACGTTTTCAAAGTACCTAAAAGCCATATAAGTCTCTGCTTTACCCGCGGGCACACGCGGATCTTGCCCGGTCATCTTTTAAGTCTCCACTTAGCTGGTAAGGGCGTGGAATGCCGTCTGAATTTCCAGTTGCTTGTATACCTCGTCAGCGTCAAAGGTGCCGTAGGTAATCACAAAACCTTCGGACATATTAACGTAGCTGCCCGATTCGAGCGGCTCGTCTAGTAGGCTTGCGATAAACTGATCGAATTCTTCCGTGAATACAAGCGGCAAACCTTCGATCGACGCCACGTACTAAGAGAATTTGTTCTTCGTCACCCTTTTTGCGTCCTTAAAGCTTTAGAACTTGGCGACGGATGCCTTCCTTTCGTCGAGGGTATAGTTGGTGCTCCAGCAACCTGGCTTTTTGCAAACAAAACACCTTTTCTCACCCTTAGTAGCCTTGGCAGCTTTCTTACTTCCGAAGTATTGGCGGTCCTGAATAAAGCATTCGTATTCCTCGTCCAAATCGGAGTCAGCCTCTAAGGCGTGCTAAAAGCAAGTGTGATCGTGTGGCTCGCTAAAGCTCGCGTAAGCTCTAGCCTTGGCGAGAGGTCGAGAGGTCTTAGTAGCAAACGCAATTGCTCGACGAATGTTAGCAACTGCCGCGGTAAAGGTAAAAGCAGGATTCATTCGTGCAATCGTAGTCTTTAGCACGTTTTTACAAACTGAATACAACTTGTCAGCAAGACTTCGATCATCCCTTAAACCTGGTCGTAGAGAGCCCTGAATGCCCTTAAGCTCTTTAGCGAGCTTCTTAAAGCACTCGCTAAGCGAGGTCCTTAGATTCTCCTTCTTGACCAAATCTAGCGAAATTTCCTCTTAGCGGTCGTATTTTGCTTGCCGCCGGTGGTCAGTCTCGAAGTGGTCCCTTACAGCAATAGCGTTTGTTTTGAACGTCGGAAGCCTGGCTTTGATCACATAATTGTAATAAAAGGTTATAGCCTCTTCCGTAAGCATAATTAAGAACGCTGCCAAATAGTCGTCGGATATCAAGCCGTACCGACTTGCCTAATCAGCGAAAATACTTAATTAAGTCCTAAAGTCATCGTCGGGTCCCGAATACTTTAGTTCCTTAAGAAAGCTTCTTGCAAACAAGGCCAACTCCTTTGCCCTTAAGTAAGGGTCCGTTGCTCCTAGCTCAAGGAAATCGTCTCCATCATCGTCAAAGGCGCTTAGAGTGCCGTACGCAAGCGTGCCGTGCCTGGCTAGTGGTCGGATCGGTACGAGGTTACCGATATAATTGCCGGTGGTCCGTCCTCTTCCAAAGTCCCTAAGAGGCTTATTTCCGGATCCGGAGTCCTTTAAGGGTCCGTTTCCGAATCTCCTTAATAGTCCAAAAGGACCGTTCCTACCCCTTCCGTATCCGTGTCCTCGATCTCCTTGCCAATCTCCCCCGTTTCCTCCTCGTCGATCATCGCCAAAATCGCTAAGGTCATTCGGGTCACCGGCTAGTGCTCCAGCTTAATGATATCCGTATCCTTAAGCTTGCCCTTAGCGATTCCCATACCCTTGGTCTCTCTCTTATTGATACGTAGCCTCTTGAAAGATATAAGTAGCTTGCCGGTACGTCCGAGAGTGCTAGATCCCTCCTTCGGGTTGCTGAAGTTAAGCACGGAAATCTGCACGCTGTCCCTGGCGAGAGCTGATTTTGTCCGGAATGCTCTCAGGTTTTGGCGGGTCCTCTTTTGGCGTGTAGCTGCTATTGCCTTGCGTATTGTTAGGCCCGATTATGTTTTCGGGGCCGTTGTTGTTGCTACTCGGCCCTGGATTTTGGAAAACCCGGTTGTAGCTCTTGAGAAAAGGGTTTAAGGGCCGCTGAGGTGATTTTGGCTCTTGTATGATTGGCGTATTGCGTAGCGGTTGCTGAATTAAGAGCGTCGAGTACGCTGAAGTGCTTCGTCGTAGCCCTTCGTTAGATTGTATAGCGTAAGTCCGTAACTCCGCCATTTGCCTTGCCATCACCTCCATATTTTGCTCCATATTCCTCCTCTCCTTCGCAAATTCCTCGCGTAACCTCCGAATCTCCTCCCCCTCCCTCCTTGATACCTCCTTTTCCTTCCCTTTTGGACTTCGTGGAGGTGGTGGAGGTAGTTGAAGCGTATTATCCTCGTCGTCCGTAAGGTTTTCGGCGGTCCACCTTGAATCGAGGCCTAAAGGTGTTGCCTGTTGCTCCTTTATTTCCTGGAAGGTCTATTAGTATTACTGCTCGTCGTTCAAGAGCTTGACCATCCCATTAGCGTAGCCCCTTTGCTTTAAGGGGCACCACACGCCTTTAAACAGCAAGTGTTCCTTGAGGCTAATAAAAGTAGCAAACTTAAAGCTTCGTCCCGTATTATCCCTCGTCATTGTAAAACTAGTCCAATCCTAGCGTAAGAAAGCGTGCCGGAATAGGCTCCACAAGTCGTAATCCTTCAGCCCTTTACACTTCGCATCCAAGAAGTCGTTCACTATCGCTCGAGCCGTAATCTCACTGTCTAGCCTTGCGTATAATAGCTCGTTTAGGTCAAATAAGATGCCCGACATCTCGTCGTCTAGTCCTTCCGAGAAGCTTAAGAGTCTTGGGTATAGTAGTCCTTTTAGCTGAATAGCTAAGGGTTCCGTAAGTGGTGATAAGACTCGAGAAGTATAATACCCTACTGCTCCTTGTCGGCTGGACTCCCCACCTAGAGGTCTAGTTGCTCGATCGGCCATAGTTGTTATCTGCTCGTACGTAAATCGATCGTGTTAGTTGGGTTTGCTGTGTATAGCAAGCGCGGCTCTACAGCTTTAAAAGTTATATAAAAGTGACTTAGTTCGGAATCACTCTTCCGTAAGAATAAAAGAAAATCGGTAGTATAAAAAGCGACTTGGTACGGAATCGCTCTTCCGTTATAAAAGAAAGGAAGTATCGTAGTGAAAGGTATCCTCGCTATAAAGTATTCCTAGCTTCTCTATGATTGATCACTTAGTAGTAAATCAACTACTGATCAGTGTTAAATTGCTTCCAAGCGATTAAGAATATATATTCGTAAGGTCGTAACGGTCGTCAAAGTACTTGCAATTGCAAAACACTCGGTTGATAAAGTATCTGAATTCTATCTGCTCCCTAAGGCTCAAGGGAGCTGATTCCTTCTATACGATTAAAAGGAATCACGTGCACTAGCTAGCTAATAGATTTACTTGTCAAGTTGGAGGTCCCTTGACTGCTGACATGCTAAGCGAGGCATGCCAAGTGGCCCGTGAACCATGGTTCACGGGTGAGCTTCCCCAACTACTACTACTACTACTACTACTAGCTAAGGTCGATATGGATATACCGACATCTTAAGCTTTTTAACGAGCTTTTTAAAGCACTCGCTAAGCGAAGTCTTTGCATTCTCCTTTTTAATTAAATCTAACGAAATTTCTTTTTAGCGATCGTATTTTGCTTGCCGTTAATAATTAATTTTAAAATAGTTTTTTATCGTAATAGCGTTTGCTTTAAACGTAAAAAGCTTGGCCTTGATTATATAATTATAATAAAAGGTTATAGCTTCTTTTATAAGCATAATTAAAAACGCCGTTAAATAGTCGTCGAAGGTTAAATCGTATCGACTTGCTTAATTAATAAAAATTCTTAATTAAGTCTTAAAGTCATCGTCGGGTTTTAAGTACTTTAGCTTTTTAAAAAAGCTTCGCGCGAACAAAGCTAATTCCTTCGCTTTTAAGTAAAGGTTTATTGCTTTTAGCTTAAGGAAATCGTCTTTATTATCGTTAAAAGCGCTTAAAGTGCCGTACGCAAGCGTGCCGTGCTTAGCTAATAATCGAATCGATAAAAAGTTATTAATATAATTGCCGGTTGTAAGTCTTACTTTTTTAAAGTCTTTAAAAAGCTTATTTCCGGATCCGAAGTCCTTTAAAAGTCCGTTGCCGAATCCTTTTAATAGCTCGAAAAGGCTGTTTTTACTTTTTTCGTATTCGTAGCTTCGATCTCTTTGCTAATCTTTTTCGTTTCTTTTTCGTCGGTTATCGTTAAAATCTTTAAAGCTATTCGAGTCATCGGCTAAAGCTTTAGCTTAATGATATCCGTATCCTTAAGCTTGCTTTTAGCGATTCTTATACTTTTGGTTTTTCTTTTATTAATACGTAGCTTTTTAAAAGATATAAATAGCTTGCCGGTACGTCCGAAAATGCTAGATCTTTTTTTCAGGTTGCTAAAGTTAAGCACGGAAATCTGTACGCTATTCTTAATAAGAATTGATTTTATTCGGAATGCTTTTAGGTTTTAGCGAGTCTTCTTTTAGCGTATAGCTTTCGTAGCCTCGAGTATTATCTAGTCCGATAATAATCTCAAGACCTTTATTATTGTTGCTATTAAGCTTAAGCTTTTTAAAAAACTAAATATAGCTCTTAAAAAAAGGATTTAAAAGCCGTTAAAATGATTTTAGCTCTTTTTAAATGATTAGCGTATTGCGTAGCGATTAATAAATTAAAAGCGTTAAGTACGTTAAAGTGCTTCGTCGTAGCCTTTCGTTAAATTATATAGCGTAAGTTCGTAATTCTATTATTTGCTTTATTATTACTTTTATATTTTGCTTTATATCTTTCTTTTCTTTTGCGAACTCTTTGCGTAACCTTCGAATCTTTTCCTTTTTTTTCTTTTTTTTTCCTTTTAAACTTCGTAAAGGTAATAAAAGTGATTAAAGCGTATTATCTTCGTCGTCCGTAAGGTTTTTAGCGGTCTACTTCGAATCGAGGCTTAAAGGTATTGCTTATTGCTCTTTTATTTCTTAAAAGGTTTATTAATATTACTGCTCGTCGTTTAAAAGCTTAACCATTTTATTAGCGTAGCCCTTTTGCTTTAAAAGGCACTATACGCTTTTAAACAGCAAGTGTTCTTTAAAGCTAATAAAAGTAGCAAATTTAAAGCTTCGTTTTATATTATCTTCCGTTATCGTAAAACTCGTTTAATCTTAGCGTAAAAAAGCGTGCCGGAATAAGCTTTATAAATCGTAATCCTTTAGTCTTTTATACTTCGCATTTAAGAAGTCCTTTATTATTGCTCGAGCCGTAATCTTATTATCGGGCTTTGCGTATAATAGCTCGTTTAAGTTAAATAAAATACTCGACATCTTATCGTTTAATCTTTTCGAGAGGCTTAAGAGTCTTAAGTATAATGGTCCTTTTAGCTAAATAACTAAAGGTTCCGTAGGTAGTAATAAAACTCGAAAGGTATAATACTTTATTGCTTTTTATCGGCTGGACTCTTTACTTAAAGGTCTAGTTGCTTGATCGGCCATAATAATTGTTTGCTCGTACGTAGATCGATCGTATTAATTAGGTTTGCTATGTATAGCAAGCGCGGCTTTATAGCTTTAAAAGTTGTATAAAAGTGATTTAGTTTAGAATTACTCTTTCGTAAGAATAAAGAAAATCGATAATATAAAAAGCGACTTAATACGAAATCGCTTTTCCGTTATAAAAGGAAAGAAGTATCGTAGTAAAAGGTATTTTCGTTATAAAGTCTTAGCTTCTTTATGATTAATCACTTAATAGTAATTTAATTACTAATCAATATTAAATTGCTTTTAAGCGATTAAGAATATATATTCGTAAAGTCGTAACGGTCGTTAAAGTACTTGCAATTGCAAAACACTCGGTTGATAAGGTATTTGAATTCTATTTGCTCCTTAAGGCTCAAGGGAGCTGATTTTTTTTATACTATTAGAAAGAATCACGTGTACTAGCTAGCTAATAGGTTTACTTATCAAGTTAAGGGTCCTTTAACTGCTGACATGCTAAGCGAGGCATGCC